ATAAATAAATAAATAAATAAATAAATAAATAAATAAATATTTACCTTCTGTCATGTTTTTTGTTTTTTCAGTTGCTACCCACAGCTCTTTTTTTTCCAGCTTTCACTCTTTCTGGCATTCCCTCAAACGTCTCAGTTGTTATTATGGAACAAGCTATAGCAAATTTGCATTTTTATGTGAAAGTCCCTAGGGAGGGCTTGGACTGCAAGGCAACCTAAACCATATTTAAATAAATAATGGCACTTCCCTTTCCCACCTAGCGGACTTGTTTCTGCTACCTTCATATCCGAGCTAATTTATTGTAATAATAATTAGTGAATTGTAATCATACTTAGCTGAGACTTTGAAAGCAGTCTGGAGAAGCAATTGTTCTGATAATTGTTCTGATAAACCCAGTAAAATCTTATCTTAACTAAAATCTTATTTTCGGATATTGCATAATTTTATTTGATCCACATTTTAAAGCAAACAGATGTAATATGCCCTTCTTAGTTTATTTTGTTAAAAGGTATGTCGTTGTCAATTAGTTTCCATATTTCCCTGACTTTGGGTTGCAAGTCTTGGGTATACTGGGAAAAATTGTTGTAGTGTTAGGGAACTCTCCCGAAAATATGATTCCTGGAGGATTGGGAGCAAACTATCAACATCTCAGGCACACACACACACACACACAAGTAATCACAGAGTCTGCGTATGTTAGATATGTCTTATAAATAGTGATTATAAGAAATACGGTTTGGGGTCACATAGACCTATACAATTCTACTCCAGTCTTTGGGATACTGGGACTCACGCAAAGGCTCTATAGTGGATGTTGCCTGGCCCGAGCAGCCCACATATCAGGGTACTAAGTGCTCCCATGCAGATCAGTGGGTAAGGTATAATTAATAAAAGCTATTTCTTTGTTTCTCATTTAGGTGTTACCATAATCTTGGAATCTCTCAAAATGGATTGGAATCTTCTTGTGTACCACAAAGCATTCTAAATTCTTTCTTAAGCATGCAGCAGGGTGTGAGAGAGCCACTGAGGTCAAATTCTGTGTAATTAACATTAGTGCCATTCTATCTAAAGGGTTTTCTTTCCCTGGCTTAATACAGTGGTGTACAGAAATAAAAAGCTGCATCCAGGAATACATCAGTAAGATGGCACCCAAAGATGAGTGGCTGAGAGGATGCCTGAGGCAGCAGCAGACGTGGGAGGCAGCACAAGCAGAGGAAATACCATGGCAAGACAAGACCCTGCATGGGATATACCACTGACAAATAGCTGAGGTGGCTGACCTTGGGAAATCCTGTCAGCGGCTGGAAAGGGCTGGACTAGAAGACAGCACTGAGGCACTGATCATAGCAGCACAAGAACAAGCACTAAGACCAGATCCATAAAAGCAGGGGTCTACCACACTAGAGAGGACCCAGGTACAGGCTGTGCAGAGAGGCCTCAGAGACAGTCCAACACATAGTGGCTGGGTGTAAGATGCAGGCAGGAACAGCATATACTGAACAGCACAACCAAATAGCGGGCACTGTGTACAGGAACATCTGCACAGTGTATGGGCTAGACCCTCCCAAGTTCAGATGGGAGATTCACAGAAGGTGGTGGAGAGTAACAGGGCTAAGATCCTG